TCTCACTATAGCCTTGTCGAACATGCAGAAACACTCGTGGGAGAAAGTCCTCCCGTTCGAGGCCGGACACCCCCTGATCACAGCTCCCACCCATCCATCCGGGGCACATATTGTATCTCATCAACTCCGCATAACTATTGAAATCAGCCAGCCAAACGTTAGGTTATCCCTGCTATACCCGCCTTCTTTGCACAACGGCTCCCGACAACGTGCTCACGGGGGGGGTTCGTGGCGCGCCTGTCTCGCCGAGCTAAGGAACGGGCCGTCAGCCTTCAACTGTCGCTCTTTTCAACGCCCCGGTCAGGGGGCTCGGGCGTTGGCGGGAACATTTCCTGTACTCTATTCGATGGAACATGCATCCATGTTGAGACATCACTTAGCTGTGGAAGGGATCAGGAGGTCCGAGTGACATAGCCGCCCCCCGTCAAGGCTGATTGTGACAGGCTGGGACCAAGGAACCCGCTAACGCCCACGAGTGAAACATATTTAACCCAACGCGGAGAACTCGGACGATTCTGATCAGGATCTTTTCTCTATTTGGCCTTATAGACGCAGGATGCATGGTTGTGACGAAGCGTTGGGCCTACCCTGCTCCGTCACCCCGGTCACGTCAGTATCCCTGAACCAGACTGCCGGAGAGGCGGCGATGATGGGCCCTCGGTTAATCATCTTTGAGATACATTGTGTAGTAGGCCTCCTATCTAAGAATAAACATTTCAGGCATGGTCCCTTGCCATTATACCAGCTGAGGAAATGGCACGAGGACTCAGCCTCGTAGGCTAAGAGTCAATAGATTGTGCAGCTACACCGGAGAATAGTCCTAGAGCCTTCTGGGACGTCCAATCATTATACTAGACTAGCAGAGCGATAAGGCTGACAGCCTCCACGTCAGTTTGTGACAGATCATTGTGGCTTTTCTGCAGTGAGAGGGGTATTTCCCCTCGAGTTCATTCACCTTAAACCTCTCATACCAAATATCTACACATCGAGAGTCATAATGGCCTTCGTAAAATTTTCTAACATAGAATTTCCTAAAGGAGATCCTGAGACATGAGCTACAAGGAGGCGCGGTACGCAGGTACAGAATGCAAGGATGCCTGCCAAGAACCAGGTTCTCGACGCAGTTGCTCTGCAAGTAGGCCATACTTGATGTTATTGGCTAGTCCTCGACGTTACGACCAGGGGCCCTGGCAGAAGAACAGGGGTGTTTGGGCTGGCTTGAAGTTGCGAGGCACAACTTCAGCTGGAACCGTTGCTGCTAGACATGAACCTTTAAGGGTACAGGCTGTAATTGGTTGTGGGAAGCTTTAATGGTTTGTTAAGCTGTGCCCTATCTCCATCTTACCTGGGCGAAAGTGCAGTCCTCAACACACCACAAAGGTTCATAACGCAGCTGATTGTCTTTATTCGGAACTTCAGTATTAGCTTCACAGCCTGCTTCAAGTCGTCTAAATCGCCTCAACTCCTTGCACGAGGCATTTATCGCTCCCATGTCAACCTGAAAATCCACGGACCTGTCACTTGGAGGCGCAAGCCCAGAAGGCGGTTGTCTAGCTGAAGAGTGGATATGACGTCCCCTTTTTGCTTTTGATGTGGTTGACCCTGTATGTAATGTTGATCCTAGGGTTAGTTGCGGACAGACTGAGACATGCACGCCTTGATGGGTAGGGTGCTGAGCAATGAGTGTCCAGGAATCGAGGGGTATTGGCTCGTTAATTGACTCGTTTCTATTTCTCGAGCCAGGATCTGACACCCGGGGATCTCTCTTCATCAACAAGGAGCAAGTTGAACCGCAATACCCCGGCCTATACTGCACCTTCAACTCAGCCCGTCCCGTCCCGTCCCTGAGATACCTCCACCAAGCTGCCGCTCCTGTCACACCGAGTCCATCGCGCCAGACCTATGAGGTCCACCGGGCGTCTTTCTCCGAGACACGCACACACACACACACATGCACTGGCTTACACATCATCACCTCGCGTGCGAGACACACAGACCTCCTCTACATGTGGTCGATGATGCCGTAAGTGTGCGTCTTGCCCAGCTCTGATCGTCGACGGCGAGTGTTCCAAACGGAAAAGGCCCAGCCCATTCCAGCCAAGCCCAGCCTGCTTTTGGAAACCGCTTCACATCCTGTTTTGACAGTAAACTTGCCCAAGAAGGAACTCTTACGAGAGAGTCCTCATGCATACGCCCCCCTCCTCAGCCATCATCATCAAGTTCGTAGACTCCGAGCCCGAGTGTCCCGATAGGCGTCGGATGATGATTCACACGCAAGAGGAAGAACTCAATGGTTCATGCAAGATTTCGGTTTTAGAATGATGTTGCCCCAAATTGTTGGGGCCCTCTTCGCTCGAGCTTTTTCTTGTTTGCTAGAAATCCTATTCTCGCAGCCTCGGACTGGAATGTGGCAATTCATCGGTGAGAAAACGTGGTGTTTTTCTACAGTTTGACAAGGCAAGCAACGTCAAAGCTATCATGTGCTGGTTCCAGAAGTCGTGGTGTTCATGGCTAATCCTCAAGGTGAGACTCGGACACCCTGCGATGCCATCATGATAGCCCTATTACCCCTTTCCAGACCAGGAACATCTGACTCGAGAAGACGCATCTACATCTTGATCATGGCCACTTTCCTGCAGCTCACTCTATCGAGCAAACTCTATTTCATCACCACATCTCGCCCTTCACCAGCGTCAAGCCCATCCACCACCACCAACTGTGCCATGATCCTTTCCACACACCCTCACGGAGACTCCGCCCAACATGCAGAAAGCCCTATGGGTCCTCTTTCGTAGTGACGCTCACAGACTTGGCGACCAAACCGCACCCGCTGAGACAAACCGCAGATCGAGCTGCAGCCCCCATCACATTCGGCTGCCCGAGAACCAGGCTAGCGGGTGCTCTCGAGGTCCAGAAACACCACAAGAGACGGGGATGACACTCTCTCGCATTAGACTGGCTACGTACAGTGATGGGCACCACTTGGGGCGAAGGATCCAGCCAGCCATAGCCTCTACAAACAAGTCCCATTGTGGCCAAGGCTATTGGCCATCATGCTTGGCCACAGATGCCCAGATTGGTACTTCCCACGCTACGTCTCTTCCCAAATCTAGACTAACTAGTAAACTAATGTAGAAAACTCGCCTTCGAGTTGATCATGTTGCCGCCTCTTGTCACCCTCCCCCGCTTGCCTACGCCTCCCCGACCTAACCGCCATCATGACCACCCACACAAATATTGGTCCCAGCCTCCCGTTGTAAGCCAAGAGCCTCACATTGTCGAATTACGTCCTCGTGCTCTGCTGTTGTTCTAATATCTCCGATACCCCTGTAAGCCATCTATGTCCACAGGAACACAGACATCTTGCTATGCACCTCGATCCGCATGGCCTACACGCAAGTAGTACACACCAGGACCAAGGTGTCTCGAGCCTTAGGGCCGAGGTTATCTCCCAAAGTCAGCACATGATCGCTAGGACGCCAATCCTTAAGGCGTTTCATGTGGCGGGTACCAAGTGTGTTTGCAGGATGACGGGGCTCGGCGGTTCCCTTGATATTGAGCAAATGCGATACTGGCAGCCATAATACCGCTGTAGAAGACTTTTGTAGGCATAATTTGTGCCCTGTTTGTGTGATTGCTTCACTCGGTACGCCAAGTTCAGGTATTACTTGTCCATTCGTGGAACTTTGGATCCAGCCAGGGAGAAACAGTCACTCCTACGAGTGTCGATTACATCACGAAATTTGACAAAGATTAGCAACTAAATGAAATTTTACGATATAACCTGTACTGTACAAATTATTAGCTGACAAGTAGACCTTCACAAACGATCCTCGTCTTCGGATCGGGCAGTGTTGTTACCAGGATCTCAGTCTTCCTCCCCACCGACCAAATACGATGCATACACCTAACATCCAGATATATAGAAATGGGAAGAGATGGGATTAATTACGGCCTGGCTTTTTGGCCAGGCAAGAGACTATCATAACTGCCTAGATATCCATTCCAACGTCATATGTCATAATTGCATGAGGCTTCCTCATCATCAATCTGTAAGCAAAGCCGCAACTCCATTGCCTAACAAACTACCTTGTAACAAAGCCCATCAGAACAATCCTGAGAAAACAAGTCTAAGCTAAATAAAACATCTTGAGCATAACCCATAAACAGTCCATCCACCCAACCATCCATCCATCCATTCCGCAACCAACAGTCCATCATTGGGTATCACTTCCAAACCCACCCGCCCAAACCGTGAGTGTCATGCCGAGCAAACAAGGTACCTTCGCCTATCCCCGGTCTAGATCCAAAGGCCATGTATACTTTGACCCCAGCGCGGTCCAGCCGGTGATTCTTGCGAATAACGTCGTCGAGTAGAGCGTGCGTTCAACTCGTAGAATTGGTCAAAACCGTGCCCATATAATCCCAGCCAAAATCAGGGTATCGTATCGACGCACAAAAGTCCTCCTTCGCCCCAGTTGACCATATCCGGTTCATAGGGGATGAGTCGAGATACCCTCGACAAACCAAAACATAGCCCAAAAGGAAAACCCATCTAAAAATTCGTGACGTGACTGCCTCGCCAACTCCCATGATCCAAACCAGAGTCAATTTGGAGAAAAGTTGAAGTGAATGTCGGTCCCTGAAGCGAGCTGCGGAGCTGGGATATCGTGTATATGCTGCCATTCGAGTCGAGTCCGTAAACATCAAAAACCATCCGAGAGTAGGGATATCGTCAGCTTGAGCGAGGAAAAAGAGAGTTCATGTATCATCCATGTAAACAAGTCATGCCGTAATGCGCTTCATTCCCGCTTCCGGAACTGAAACAAATCAAAACAAAACAACGCAATAGCTCGATGCCCACATTAAAAGGAATTTCGTCATAAAGTCGTTAAAATCATTGGCCGTCTGTAAACGGCCGAGTGTGAGGAGTTAGGAGAGAAGAAGGCGAGTGTGTAGGAAGCGACTGAGTTGTCGAGAGCTGATGTTGATGCTCGCGATTAATAGGCCGCAGCGGTTGACCCTTCACTCGTTGCAACAGCTACCAGAGCCTCCAGGCGCCCCAGAGAGTCGTTACTGCCGGGTCGACCTGGTTGCTGTTGCGGGTGTTGGGGCTGGCCTTGCTGCTGCTGTTGGGGATGTGGTGGAGGTGGTTGGTGGTGGTGCTGTGGCGACTCCTTCACAGGAAACCCGCTAAAGCCGGTAAAGTTGGGGTGTACCATCCGATCAACATGAGCCACCCGAGGGTCTGGCTGCTCTTGAGGTCTGCCCTCTCGATGAGCAGAGACAGGCCCGTGGTACCAACCGTGACGCTTGCTGTCCCGTGATGTGATGGACGGAGCAGACATGGTGTGCTGATGCATAGCCCGCGTTGCAACAGCAGGCTTGGGAGCAGCATAGGCTGGAGGAGGCTGGTCCTCGAACCGGACAGTTGGGGGGTTAAGTCGGACTTGCTCGGCCTGTGCCTGCACTGCCTTGTTTGCCTCAGAAGCCCATGCTCCAGCGCTATCCCGAGGTGGAGTGCTGTGGTTGATATCAAGACGGTTGAGACCGCGTTGCAGGCTGGCGTCGTACATGTTGAGATTCCGTCTCTCGTCCTGCATGGGTGTCTCGACAAGATGCGGCTGGTAGGCAGCTCGTGGGTGAGACTCGGAATCGATAACCATGGGTGATGGCGGCCTCCTAGCAGGGCTTCCGGGTCGAGGAGGAATAGGGTCAAACGACTCGATACCTGGAAGACGGAATGACGACTGGGAGGTTGCGGGATTCGCAATCGGCGGTGGCGGGTTCGGGCGAACCGAAGACTGGTTCACGACAGAGCTCAGCTGACTGGGGTTTCCATTCACATTGCGGCTGTCCGGGTGCCAGGTCCGTCGACGCCATTCGCTCTCAGACATTGTTTCCCTTGGTGGCCATGGAGCGGTTGAAGCGTTCGGGGACGCAACAATACCGTTGGCTGATGGGAAAGCGCCCACATTCGAAGCATTAGCACCACCAGGTCCAAAGACTGGCCTTCCTACAACTAGGCCCGATGGTGATTGGAACGGGTTAGCACCAGAGGGAACACTCAGTCGGCGGCCGGGAGTTCGAGTTCCAGGGGCATACATGCTCTGGGATCGTGAGTGAGAAGAGGGAGAATTGACCCCAGCGACCCATCGAGGGCTGCTCTGCCCAGTCGAAAAGTTGGACGAGGTCGGTGTCCCAAAGTCGCTTGGAGATGCAGGTCGGTAGGACGAATAGGTGCTGTCAGCAGCGCTTCGATACGACTCCAGGGACAATCGCGATCGTGGGTCAGCCATCACCAGAGGAGCGGGCCTTCGACGAGCATCGGCGTGAACGCTATATGCAGAGCCAACAGAACTAACGCTCGTGATGCTAGAAGTAGACAAGGACTTGGAATGCCCTCGCTGTGGCCCGCCAGCGCTTCCACCAGTAGATGCCCGCGCTCTGTTTCCAGCCTGCCGTACACGATCCGGTCGCATCTGACGCTGGAACCGAGAACCGGTAGCTGCCAGCGAATCCATGGGAATATTCTCGTTGACATGAACAGTCTGCGCATGTTGCCTCAAGTTGTCCAGGCGCGAGAAGCGCCGCGAGCAATGACACTGAAAGGGCCGTTCACCTGTATGTTTCCTGTTGATTACGGTAAGCATAACTTTCCAAAGCAAAGTGCGAACGAGTTGACGCACCTGATGTGCCTTGCCAGGTGCTCACTCCGGGTGAAGCTCAGGTTACAAGGCGGGTAGTCGGTGCAGTAAAAGCGCTGCGACTTCTTCTTCTTGCCCGATCGTGTTCCCTCGGCACCAATACTTTCCTCGTCCGAAGCCTGGCCCTCTTCGACTGTGCCAGTCTCTCCATCGGAATCGTCCATATCCACATCGACCGAATCCGCCGACTTGTTGGAGTGTCGAGAGTTGTGACGCCTAGGCATCCTCGGTTTAGGTGCTGTGTCGGGTACCTGCACGCTCTGCGGGAACGGGCTGGAGGGGAGCGGCTTCTGACTAGCCATGGAAACATTGAACGTCGCTCGGGTCGGAGTCGCAACATCGTCGATAGGTCTTGAGGGATGCGTGTGAGGCGCTGTGTTGGGTCGAGGGGTAGCGGGCGACGAAGCCATGACGTCTTCGCGCGAGACGGGGTTTGCCAGCGGCGAATTCACTGGACGGAATGCGGCCGCCATGGCGACAGAGGTCGGGGTGTTATCGATGGCGATGCTAGGTACAGACGGCGGTGCGATGAATGCTGTGTCGTTTCGCAGGATCACCAGTCGGAAAAGGGTGAGAAGAGAGGGTTGTAAAGGTGCAACGTCAATGTCGCACACGCACGAGAGAGCGCAGCCGGTCGGGTACTCCTTGTGTGCCGCTAGATGCTGTCGGGACTAGGTTATTCGCACTTTGGTAGGCCAGACCAGACCAGCAGTCGTGATGAGGCTGAGAATAGGATTGCGAGTTGACCAGCGAGTTGGTCAGCGGGACGCGGGGCGGTTCTTGTCGGGCAAGCGCACACCTCGAGCGAGAAGAGGCACCGACGGGGGAGGATGGAGATAAGAGGTTGTAGTCCGGAGGGGCAGGACGTCCGTCAGATAGATAGACCTAGGGCGGGGGGCGGGATGAGTCGAAGTTGAGGGCGGATCCCAGAGGGGGGAGGTGGATAGAAGTAAGGGAGTTGAGGGGGGGAGAGACAGCGAGGATGGAGAAACAGGGAGACCGTGTGTGAGAGTTGTAAGAGGATGAGAAGAGGCGTTCTCAGACTCCTACCAACGACGCAGTAAGGTCTGGCGCAGAAATGCCGGTGGGGGAGGGCGGCGTGCGTAGTGGTGATGCAAGCGAGCCAGGCCAGGGCCTAGATCCGTAGCACTGACACTGACTGACTTGACTTGCTGGCTTGGCCCTGGGGCTCTGCAGCGAGTGAGAGCAGGATAGAGTCCGACCAGCCGGCTCGATTCTGGATGCTCTCAGGTCTGTTTGCTTTGGCGCCTTTCGAGGCTTGATGTTCGCCAACTCCGAGTGTTCATCAAGGCAGCAAGAAGAAGCGAGAGCCGACAGCAAGGTACTGTACTGTAGGTGTAGGTGCGTGACGCAGATGAAAAGGTTGACAGGCAGAACAGAGCACACAGAGGTTGCGACTCGTGAGTCGAGACAGGGGCACCAAAGGGAAAAGTGGCAGGGCCGCAGGGGCAAGCGTGGCGATGATGTATGTCTATGGTTGCTTTTCCGCCCCAAATCGGTGGAGTCCGGATCCGGGATGGGATGGGATGGGATGGGATGGATGGATGGAGGCATGGATCGAGTCGCCCAGTTCCTTTCCCCTACTCTAACTAAGCCCGAGTCTTTGTTAGTCGCGTTGCCCGTCCAATCAGCCCCGAGACCAGCCACCTCGGACAGTTGCCCTCGCTTTTGTCATGCTCATCGACCCGGATCACCCTGTGTGCAAGAGACGGGCGAGAACCTAATCCCCTAGGGCTGTAAATCGAGGCTGGCACTGGACTCTTTCTTGGGTTCTGCCGTCTTCGTCTCCAGCTCCAGGCGCCAGCCAGCAAGCCAGATGGATACTCTAGAAGCTCCGCTTTTCACGCTGCGACCGTTCGTTCGCTTGTTCGAGTGACGAGAGTCGAATCCATGTCCAGAGCGGTGACTCTGCGTCTTCCTTCTTACCCTCACAGATGGGGTGGAATGGGGATGGGGAGTGGGCGGCAAGCGAGCGAGCGAGGCTCTGGCTCTGGCTCTGGTCCTCTTGCTTCGATTAGTACCCGGTATGATAAACCAAGCACACGGGTCTGGTATCCAACATGTGCACCCTCGTTGGTGTCGCACCGCGCCCCTCGCTGAATAATTCTGCGGCTTGCGTAAGGACAGGACAGGCTGCGCAACGACGACCTGTACGCCCAAGAACACGGAGCGACTTCAGCAACCGACTGCATTAAACACGCAGTCCGGCCATGTCAGAGACGTCAGGTACAGGTCACCTGCACCGGTTAGCAGGGGGCGGGCCAGGTACATAGCGCCCAGTACCTGATATGATCCATGCGAGGTATGGCCCCCTGTAAGCCCTGTGTGGACGCAGTTCCCAGCTAGTTCCAGCCCACGAGTAACAGCTGGGTCATTAATTTTTCGGGACATTGAAAAAGGTTGAACCTTTCAAAAGGCATATCGTCAGCCTTGCGACTTCTCTTCTTTATCATGACGAAGGTCATAAACGTTGATTCTGTCGCTCCAAAGGCAATCAATTTGCGGGGTCCGACGACGCAACACACGTTGGCCAAAAGGTTTCGATACGTGAAGCGGGCCATCCTCTGCCCACTGTCCACTATCCACCATCCACTGCCCTCTCTTCAGTCAGGGCACAAACCAACATGCAGGCTTCGCGACATGGCCGTCCCAGTTGGGTCCAGCATGCATGCGAGGGGCTGGGTCCTCGACTTGTTCTGAGTGGGCCAGGGGCCATGTCACGGAGGGTCAGAGGCGGCGCTTTGATTCACAGGGGACCCGTCCGCCGCTGCTGTGCGATGTAAAAATAAACCTCGAACCAGTGGCATGGTGAGCCGAAATCTTCTGCTTGACTCGAAGCGAAGCCGTCCCTGGCCGGCCGCAAGGGGCCGTGTGCGGGCCCCAGCGGATTGTCTTGACCTGACCTTGCAAGTCCCCGGTTTTGTCCTGCGAGGACAGCACGATTCCGGTATCTGTACAGAATCGTCGACTGCGTATTTCAGGTTGCTCCGGTCACACTCGTGGCATGCCAGAAGAGGGATCCAGAGTCGACAGAATGGGACATCCGTTTTCGTTTTCAGGGCCCCTACCCTTCCCCTTGCCCATCCCCATCCCCATCCATCCCGAGTCTTTCCAGGGACCTCCGGCAGGCTTCAAGGTCATCTGGCCCTGGAGGCGCCCGGCCGGCTTACCCATGCCGTCCAATCTGATACTCGACCCCTCACCGCGTACCTAACGCTGATGTAGCACGACTGCTTGCGGTTGTAGGCTTGATGATAGGCAGCTTGTGATGTGATGGTGCCTGGATCCCGCAGCTCGCTGGGCATGAGATTGAATCGATGATGAACATCTTAGTGCGGGGATCCAGAGTTGCGTCTCTAGCTGAGTGCAACCCTGCGAACATGGCCTTGCCCGCCACCTGCTCAGGCCGTTGGATTTCCCCTCGTCAAGTACATGGCTGCATGTCTCTGCAGCTCCGTAATTCGCGTTGAAACTGACGGCCTGGTCGACTAAAATGTCCACCATTGAAGGCGATGGCCATGAGCGATAAAAAGGCTCGAGAGCACATGGTTGACCGACTACTGTAACGCGATCGACCTTCCCATCATCTGCCGCGCTGGGGCGGCGGCCGGGAGCGAGCAATGACGTGAGGTGCCTTGACCATGCGTGGAGACTCGCTATGAAGATTGCCATCGTGCCCTGACCAACAAATACGAATGGCGTGCAAGTAGGTACTGCCAGGTAGGTATCGAGGGGACCAGGCTGGCCGTCTAGGCTAATCATCAACGTCCCAGGGTCAGCCGAAGATGCCGTGCAAGAACCCAGTGCTGACCTCGCATGACGCATTGAGCTCTTGTGGTCTGGTGCTGTGTACTGCCCCCCAGAGCAAGTTTCAAATCGTTCCGACGAACGTGGCAGCGGCTCCAAGAGAAATACAGACACAGGCTGTTGCTTCTGGTTGTCGTTGATACTGTTGCTCCTCGTCTTGCCAACATGTGCCTCAACGGCATGTACCAGGCCCGTGTCTCACGGCGGTGTGTGCTTGCGGACGGGCCTAAACCTGGTGGATCGTGGCTAGTCTGTCCCGTGGCCAAGGAACCAGTCCGAGCACTTATAGCAGAGCCACATGAACCCCTCAAGAACAGGGAGGCTGGAGCAAGGAAATATACTATCGATATCCTGAGCCTTGTCCCTTTGGCCGAATACAACGCGGCAGTGAGTAGTGAGCGGCCTTGTGGTTGCACGACGGCGCTCGCACCAGCAGCTTGGAGGGGTCGGTCAGTGGTGTGGGAGCCAGCCTCTGTAAGCATTTGGCATCTAGTCTTTGGTGTAACATTGGCATTGTGCGCGCTTGCGTTTCTGCAGCCTCAACCTGTCTCACATACTGCGGCGCCTGCTTGCCTGATCAGTGAGCTGTACCTTTTTTTGCAACGCCTTTGCTTAAGTCAATTGGAGATCACGGGACACACCCAGTAGCCAATCGAGGACGCCCAGATTTATGACGATATCGTCTGCGATATTGAAAGCGGAGATAGTCGCCCTTGCACAGGAACCGAGGTGTACATGGTTTTGCAAGGACCTGTTTCCGGCCACCTGAGCCGCGAATTGTGGCCCTGGTTGACTCGTTCGTATACCAGCATCTCCCACTTTGCCGTCACAAGTCGGCCAGATCGGGGGCGGCCGATTGAAATTGACTTTTGGTGGATCTTTTCGATGTCGAGGTGGTTGGGACTCGTGGACGCCGACGTGGACGGGATGTGGTGGAAGCCGTGCCTGGAAGGAAGCTGGAACCTCAAACTATTGCCCGTGCTTTGACGGTTCCTATCGGCAGATGCTAGTGGACAAAAATGTGAGAACAGTCTCAAGCAAAGACACGACATAGGAGTGTTGACCGGATAGTTGTCATGTCGCGCATTGCATTGTATGTGTAACCCGCGTGATAGTCTAGCATCTCCTCCAACGTCAGATGGTGGTGCTGCTCCTGGTGGCTCAAGCAGGCACTCCTTCGCTCGTTCCTCCCCTCTCCTCTCCGACCCCTCCATTGATGATACCCCACCCCCTCCCTCCTTCCTCGCTCCCCTCTTTCCCGTCATCAGTGCATCCCGTGACCCTCCCTCTATCGATAAGAGCTGGGCCCTGAATCCAGGGTTCCCCCTGTTACTGTATCCGTGCGCTGGGGGGTCTAATCCTCCACGATGATCGTCACTCAAAGAAACCCTCCTCTATCAATCTCCAACTCGCAATTGGATGCTTCATCACCATGTTGCATGTACCCTGAATTCTTTGCTTGCGCCCTCTGATCCCAGCAGCGGGTATCAAGAGTCTTTCCCGGGCGAATCGACACCTACACCTTGGAGATGGCGCTAAGCACGTTAACACGCCAAGTCGATCGGAATCCCTTCCAAAAGCAATCGATAATGTTTACTCTTGCAGACGACAGGCTGGTTCGACCTTGCCATTGGCGCTTAGATCTCTGTGGCAATCCAGTCACTTTGTCTTATCGATTAGACTTCCAGCCTCAATCTCCTCATTTTCCACATTCAGCCATGGATCATGGAAATTCGAGATTGATTTGATGGCTCCGGCAGGCTACAGACTGGCTCACCGCACCGCAGCTGCTCCTTCTACGTGCGACAGTAGCGTTTCCCATCCGTCTCTCCATGAGCCTCCGCCTCCCTGCATCATAACCGCCTGCCGCCGTTTTCTCGCAGACGCGCCGAGGGTCACGATGGGGTCCCAAGGATGGTGGATTTAACCTGCGTACACTAAACGCACGCAACCAGCCGCCTCTAGGGCTGCCGCCGTTTGCGCCTCCTCACCATGACAGCTCCACTTGGTGTTGGCGATCAACATTGAGGGTCTTGCTCTCCCTCAACTGTCGTCGGCCGTGGCTGGTTGACCGTGCTACCATGGTGGTAGGTTTGCTGGCGTGGCCCGCGCCGAGTCTCTGGGTAGATTGATTGACATTTCCTGTTTGGGGACCAGTCAAGAAGCCGAATCCAATATTGGGTTGAGAAGCGTCGAGACAAGCACTTCTCGATGGCCATGGAAGGGAGCTAGTACCACACTCAATTCAAGTTCTAGCGAGGCGCTCAGCCTGGAGCTATTCAGAGTTTGGCGAGAGCAGGACGAAACTACCTGTCAGCATCAAACAACAAACAGTCCCCGACGGATGGATCTATGCAGGATGCCATGCCCTCGCATCGCTGTCCATGAAACATCCATCTCGCTCCCAGTCCCCTGATCGTTCCTGGGCTACTGCCCGAGCTCTCAATCTAGCCTTTGGCCCGCTCTCCAATCATGCCACCAAATGCAAGGCACGGCGCAGGTTGACGACAGAGATACCCACCATCAGAACTTGGCCCCCAAAAGGGCTGCACGCCCTTGGCCCAAATCGTCCGCAGAGGTTGCTCGACTGGCACACCAAGTAAAAGTTGACGACACCGACTCCATTCAGACACGCACTTGGGCCCCCGCGCCCGCCCATTCCGACACCCCATGTGACAACTCGATAGGCGGGGGGACACCACTCATCATAGGCGGCCGGTGAAGCAAGGGACTCTGATGCGGCCAACGCGAGGCCGGCGCCCGTTATCCATCGTCAAGAGGGTGCTGTGCGGTGCTGTGCTGTGCTTGTGGTCCTTGTTCTCGTTGCGCTCAGCAGGTGGCTATCAGCTTCCCCAGCCTCGTCTCACGACTCATGACTGAGTCTGAGTCGCCCTGAAGCGCTCGGCATGTTTCTTGAAGTCTCAGGCACTGGCTGACTACTGTATCGCCTAGTCTAGTGTGCCTAGGAAGTGTGCCTAGCAACGCAACGCAACACATCAGAGAGCCGCCAACTTCGCCCTGTCTTGACCTGTCCTGTCTTTGTCTCCAAGCCACAGCCAGTAGCCCAGCGGACGGACCACTCTAGCTGGAGGTCCACAGCAGTTGCTTGTCTCGTCTTGTCCCGTCTTGTCTCGTCTCGTCTTTGACCTCTCTTGTTTGGGCCTTGCTTCCTACACCGCTCTTTTATACTCAAACCCAAAATTCCATAGCCCTTGCTTGTTCTGGTGGATCTTCCAAACATGTGTCTCTGGCTCGCCATGTTTGGATTCGACTGCCACGAGATGCGCAGCCTGTCTCTCTCTCCGCCCAGCGAATCCGTCCGAATGCAGCCAAGGGCAGAGTCCTCCTATCCGCTCCTCGGGATCGGGGCAGGTCAAGGGGCGGACCTGTGGCAGACACAGCACAGCACAGCTGCGTTGTTACGTATCATGGCTGCATGCATGGATCTTTCATGCAAGTATCCTCATTCGCGTGCGTGTGTGGATGGCATGGGTTGGCATGTACATGGAAGCCCGTCATTCGCGATCTTCTTGTGCGACCTGGAAGCATATCGGGGTAATCCTTGACCTGGACCTTGAGGCAATGCGGAGATTCAGCCGGGTCTGACGGGCCTCCATTCCTCCAGAAGTGCCCTACATCCATCCTTCTCCTCGTCTACGTTTGGGATTCCTTGGCTGCTGCCATTTCAATCACCATGTCCACGTCGGCACGTCCGGACTGCCCCTCTTGATGGCGTCCACTCGGGGATTTTGCTTACGCTGTTGTCTGGTGTGACCCTTCCCGATGTCGCCTCTTTGGGGGGCTTTTTACAAAGACAAAGGCTCCATGATGCCGGGATAATTCTCGTGACAGACCACCACACCGTTTGCCATAACGTTAGTGGGCAAAAGTTGCCTTGTTTGAGAGTTGGTTGAGTGCTTAGGTGGTCCTTGGTGGTGGCGAGGCTCAGGGTCGATCCAACATCTACAGTACTTCAACTTAGATAGGTCAGCCCACGCATGTGATGCTACTGCACATCAGGCTTCTAGAAGAGGTAAGAGTTGACGTGATTATGGTTGTAGTGTCGATCTTTTAAATCGCTTTCGAGGTTGTCGATCCCATCCTATTCCCTGTTGTGTCGTGTGGTGGTATAGGGTAGTCGAGATGGCTTCAAGATCTGCGCCGGAGACTAACCAGCAACACCACCTTGGGGGTATGAGTCTAGTTGATTACTTGACGTATTCGAGAAGTGAATGTAGTATGACGAACATGCACGGAATGGCTTGTGATGGAAAAGAAACTTCAGTCTTCGGATGTATAGGCCATGTTGTGTCTCTAACTAATGCTGACTATAGATGGCCTCACGTTAAACGTTACACATCAGCTCAGCCAGATGGACATGCTAGAGAAGGAGTCAAGTCATTGACAATTAAAATGATATGAATCATAAAACATATCGTCTTCATTTACAAATCATATCTAGCTATGTAACTATGAAATGCCAGTGTAGTTCAGGGGACATGCCATCATCTAACACCGCATTGAATCCAACCAAGTCATGCAAAGAATACAGACGCCTATCTCGTTATGATATACCCAGCATAAGAACAACATGCAGTACTAATCATGAATCTGATACCTTGCCACGGGACCTGTTCCGCAGGCCCCGTGGAGCCTGCAACACGACGCACCTGGAACCATCTAGACGTCCAGCATGCTTTTGACCTGCTGGGGCGGAGCCGTGATAGAGTTGGTCGTCTCGGTGCTGTTGCTTCGCCCGTTGGATCCGGTCCGTCCCGAAGATGTTGTTCGGGCGCGACCTCGGGGCTCGGCGTCGCTGTATGGAGGCGGTCCGTCGAGAGCCAGGTCGGCCTCACGGCGGGCTCGCTCCTCGGCGAGGTTGTTGGGGAATAGGATACCCGCAACAGCCTCCACAGTGCGCTCATGTCGGCGACGCTCGTTCTTGCCGGTGTAGGGCGCGACAAAGGTCTGCGAAGCCTGAGGGCGAAGGGCGCTGACACCAGCGCGGTCGATGCGCGGGTTGTTGGTAGCATCGAGGGGTCGATGCATGTGCCCCATCTCAATCTCCTCCTCGGCTCTGGCGTTGGCCCAAGCCTCCTCTCGGGCGTGTCGCTCAGCGGCATCCTCAACACGTCGACCGGTGGCCCTACCGCCGCCAATCTCATGGACATTGCGAGTGAGCTTGTCCTTGAAGGTGAGGAGATGGTCACCCCTGACGCGGCTCCACCAGGCAGGCTTGTTGACGATGCCGAGCTCGCGGTTGATGGTCTCACCGCGCACACGCCTCTGACGAATGAGTTCCTTGTCCTCGTTGGGACTGGCGAAGCCGTAGAAGAACTGGATGTAGAGGATGAGGAGGGCAGGGAGGTATCCCCAGCAGAAGATGACCACAACGTTTCCATCGAACTTGACGAGGGAAAACTTGAACTCCCAAGCGATGAAGGCCTGATAGGCAATGGTGGCGAGAGAAAGGGGGAGGAGAAGCCAGAAGCGCAGGGGCACAGCACGAGTGAAGCCAATGGCGCGGTTGAAGATGCCACGGTTACGGGGCTTGTAGTGCTTGATCGAGTGTCGCAGCGAGAAGACGATGGTGAGCCACGAGATGAAGAGGAAGAAGGCGGCAATCTTGAAGCGCACATTGGTGGCACCGGGAATGGCCTTCTCTTGAATCTGTTCAGGGGAGCGCTGAAGCTGAGTGAACTTCCAGCTACGAGGGACAACCATGAAGAAGTTCTAGCAACGAGTTAGCCTGATATATCGTTTGATTGGTGCTTTATTAGACACTTACCAGCCAGAGCCAGAGGTAGAACCACAAGGGGATGTAGAATTCAACCTTGGCACGTCGATCGTCTGTAGCCAACGAGAAAGGATTGGGGTCGATGAATTGGCGCTCCTGCCATGAACCCCAGTGACGAACCGCTTCCCAAGTCAAGGCAACAGTTCCCATGCACAAGAGATACCAGAAGAAGACGCTGACGGTGATGGGCAGTTCCTGAAGGTAATACCGGTCGACATCCACACCGACGAACAAGCTAATGAGGGCAGTGGCAGAGACGAACAGGGCCCAGTACCATTGCCAGCGACGACCGATGGGATAGAAGCGGCTCTCGCGCGGGAGATATGTCTTTCCATGCTTAGCCAGGACAGTGAGGTTGAGGACGAGAGCGACTCCGAAGGCGACGGCAAAGGCAATGCCGACGTGACCGCGAGTACCGATGGGGAGGATAGCCGAGTAGCACTTGGTCGAGTTGACAAAGGTGCCGTTCTCCAGAAGGTCGACAAACAGGTACGGGGCCTTGGTCATGTAGCACCTAGAGCCGTTGGAGACGGTCTCGTTGCTGTACCAGGTGTAGTTCCAGTGTTTGAGGGTGGTGAGGTTGAAGTGAAGGCCCTGGATGACGGTGTCGTTCTCGTCATCGCCTTTGGGCCATGGCCAGAGGTCGCGCGCCTGGATAGAGGCGGCATTGTCGTAGATGCCACTCATGATGGGCAACTTGATGGCTCTTGTCTGTTCGTCTCGCGTCTCGATCGATTGAGTATGCAATAATCACCGTTGCCGATTTGTCTCGATGCGCCGCAAGTGTCGTGATGCAGGATACGGGTACGGGTACGGGGGCGAATTCGCCCTTTGCAAGGGGACGGGGGTATCGAGGGAATTGTCAAGCAGCGAGGCAATTCAGCACCGGAGGGACATGGCTCAATTCGACGAGGATCTCAACGGGGACAGGTTGAAGATGTCGAGATGAAGAAAGGAAAAAGAAGGATGGAAAATCTTGGCGGTTGGAGGGAATAAAAAAAACAAATGAGGCGTTGTCGAGTGGTTGGATCGCCCGCTGAATGCCGGACGTGCCGTTGCGACCGGGAAAAGCCTCGCGGCTGACACGACGGGATTGGCCCATTTTCTGTCGGAGGTTGCGGAGGTGGGGATGCCGAGCGGTCCGTTGGGAGGGTCGAAATTCTCTCATACAAGTATACGCGGAATGGGAGATGAGATGACGCAGAGCAAATGAATCAAGCGATATTGTACGGTATCTGAGTAGATAAGTATACAGTATAGTAACCGAGGTAATGATTATTGAATCATTCCTCCCGTATTTGATACCGATTGCGCTTCAAATTTGCCTTTAACTCTTCAATCTTCAATTCGACCCTTGCCTCGATGACCTCACCGCAGCTACTGCAGGCCCTCCGCTGTGGCCAGGCCCGTAGCCAAGCAATGGATCCACTGATTGGTTGCTGTGCCAAGGGCCTCTATCGCCCGCTAACCCCCAGACTCTTGGTGCTAGGTGCTGTCTGCAATGCAAGTCAGGTGCTAAAAAGGTACGTACCTCCGAGGATGAAGCGATGCCCGAAAAGGCCAGCAAGCTTCCAGAACATCCACCAACCTTAAGCTCAGGTTCGTTGTGTGTGCGACAAACACCAAAATTAACATCGCCAACTCTAACGGTCGCAGCCACAAAGACAACACCCATTGAACCTCCCGGAAAGAATCAATTATGGCAGCAGACCCTGCAGCGGACGAGGAGCCCTCGTACATCGACTACGAAACGTTTCTTGACCCTGATTTCTCCCCCGCTTCCTTTGCCAACTCGCTCGTCGTCTCGACCAACAACCCCAACGATACGCCCCTCGACCTCTCTACGCCTCTATCCCGCGTTCTTTTCGATGCTCAAGAGATTGACTCGCATATCGACGTCTTGACGACCCGCTCGGCTGTGCCACTGCTCAACTACACCCAGCAACAGACCCAAGCTTCCAAGCATATCGTCGCCGAGTTGGATGGCCAGATCAAGAGCCTCAACGACAGTTACCGCCAACTCGAGAAGGAGGTTATCGATAAGCATGCTGAGGCCGATGAAGTTCGGCTTGTGGCCCTGAGGCTGTGGGAGACCCTGAAGCTTGGTCGATCAGTTGGACGCTGTCTACAGCTTGGTCGACAGCTGGAGGTCCAGCACTCGGAGCTTGAACTGCCTGGAAATGGACCTGGGGCGTCTGGCAAGGAGGACCATCGAGCTCTTGTACGATGCGGCTACACCATCCTATCGCTTCGGGAGGTTCTTGACCGCAAAGCCCCAGGTGAGGAGGGGTTCGGGTTGAACCGAGTCGACACGGTCAGGAGCCTACAGGACACCGTCATCACTCCAATCGAGCGATCAGTTCGTGAACGTGCCGAGAGAATCATTTGCGAGTTCTCGGTCCAATCTGTGTCAACATTTGCTCAGGTCGACGAGACCAAGTCAAGGACAGTGTCTGCTCTGACTACCCTGTATCTCTTGTCGCCAACTCTTGGCTTCAAGCCTGAGAAGTGGACTCCACGACTACTCCTCCAGGCTCTCGAGACATATATCCGTTCGGCGCTGCAGGCAAGCATCACTGCTCTGTCTCGATCTCTGGGCCAGTTGCCGACTTTGGAAAAGTCATTGACTGAAGTAATGGCCAAGTGTCAAAACATTGTTTCTCTTGAGGCTGTGCTTGAGTCAACAAAACCACCAACTCATCCCTTGCTCCCAGCTGCTAACCAGCCGAGCCAAACAAATCTCCTCCAGTTCCTTCTTGCACATCTCGAGACAGGGAGTCTTGCGTCGTTTTTCTGGAGGACAATGGCCAGCAGTCTTGCTACGCGTGTTCAAGATATTGTCAACCGAGGAGGTGTGGTGGCTAGGACTCTCCGCACAAACAAGAACACAGTCGGCGACGCAATCCGTCAAGCTGTCGTCAAGGGATCACAACTACACAGTGCCCTCTCTGGGCCTAAGGCAAGGACAAAGGCGGATGCGAATTGGGATCGAGAGGTGGCTGTCATGGTGGGAAGTGTTGTTAACAACTTGGGTCGCTAAAGAATTGTATTCGTGCAATTGGCAACCCTACACCTTGTACTTAATCAACTTGAATCGCCCATGATCCGCCTTGATGCCTCACTCGACTTGAGACAAGGCAGGCGTTTATTTTGTCAATCATCACCGTCGCACGTAATATGAGGCTCTCATGATACCACCCCTCTATCCGATCTCTTTCAACTAGCTTCAACGCCCATGCAGTCATGCAGTCACACACTAACAGCAACCAGTCTGCTCTGATCAACCGGCCTCACCTGTCAAACTCGAATCCGATTCACTGTCGACAGCCTAACAACAAGGGATCAGCACCTTAAACTTACTGTGCTGCTCAGTCAGCGGCCCTTTTCAAAAGATCCAATCAGGATGCATCCAGTCCCCGCATTCAGCAGTTCCGCATCTTCCCAAGGAACCGGAACCTTGGCTACTTTAGTTGAAACAACCTCGAACCACTACGAAAATACTGCGGCAGAGGCGGAAGAGAGACCTCACTCGCCTTGAATTTGACTCACGAGACGTAAAGATGGCGCCCAACCATGGCCTGGTCCATCCAAAAGAGTACGACATCAGAGACAGCAACGTGGAACTTATCGGGACCGACATCGACCATCAGGTCAAGTACAACTCTGCCCTCACCGAGCCCGCGTGGAATGACGGCAAAGTCGGCATCGAGGCTGGACTAGTCATCTGGCGGATCGAGCAGTTCGAGGTGGTCCAATGGCCAGAGGAGAATTATGGGCAGTTCTACGACGGGGACAGCTTCATCGTGCTGCACTCTGAAAAGATCAACGGCAAAGACGGCATCGAGAGGCTTGCCCATGACATCTTCTTTTGGCTAGGGAAGCATACATCGCAGGACGAGGCGGGGACGGCGGCGTACAAGACTGCCGAGCTAGATGAGTTCCTCAAGGGGACTGCCACTCAGCACCGAGAGATCCAGGAGGCCCCGTCGGATGAGTTCCTCGCCCTATTCCCACGCATGTCCATCCGGGCTGGTGGAACGCGGTCTGGATTCCGGCATGTGGAGGAGGAGGAGACCTCCTTCGATACGCCCACCTTGCTGCGCGTCTTCAAGAACCCGGCTGTTGGCGTCAATGTCAATGGGGTCGTGGTGCACCAAGTGGACCCGACGTGGGCGAGCCTGGACGACGCCGACGTCTTTGTCCTGGATACGGATGAGAAGATCTGGGTCTGGCAGGGCAAGGACTGCAGCCCGATGGAAAAGGCAAAGGCCGCTCAGGTTGTCCATGATATGACAATCGCGAAGCACTCCGAGGTTGAGGTCGTCTCCCAGGAGGAATCCCGGTCAAGAAGAGTTGTCGATCTCCTCGGTGGCGACGATGAAACACCACGGGAAGGATTCCGCTGTGCGAGACCGTTCTCTTCACGGGTTCAGCCACGCGGCGTCGATCAGGCGTCTAAGAAGCTGTTTAGACTCAGTGACTCTTCGGGTCAGCTCTCATTCGACCTCGTCAAGGACGCTGAGCGCGTGTCGCGGGATGACCTAGATGAGAGCGATGTCTTTCTGCTCGATGACGGCGGCAAAGCCATCTGGGTATGGCAGGGAAGTGGATCGAGCGCCACAGAGAAGAGGTGGTGGTTCCAGATCGCGCAGGCGTATGTGCGGTATTTGCAAGCCGGGGACGGGCACGAGGAGGCGTACCTCATGCCCGTGGCCAAGGTGATCCAAGGAAACGAGAGTCGGGCGTTTATGAGAGCCCTTGCGGCTTAAGGTGTGTATTGCACTGCATGTGAGTCTCGGGCGGTGGTGGTCTGCATCCGCTCGGTCTTTCCAGGTCAGACCCTGCCTGACCTTGAACCGTATGAGAGCAGAGCAGAGCTGCGGTATACAAGAGAAGCGTGGGGGAATGATGCACAGGGACGACGAGTGGAACGGAACGGAACGGGGTGAACGGAGGAACACACAAAGGGCTGAGACGACATGGAGGAAGCGAAGCGAAACGAGAGTAGAAAGAAAAGGACCTGACAATGGAACATGTTAGTCATGGGGTGCGAGGAAATCGGATGCTCGGCAAGCAAGATGGGACCACACGAAGCCACAAGCAGGCCGGGATTTGGACTTGGGCGCAGACTACCGAGCTAGATTACACATACTAGGATAATCTGGATTAAGATCATCCCGACTAGATGTGCCACGCGTGGGGTCTCGATGATGCTGGTATTTCCCTGTCAGAAGGCAAGGTCTTGGGAAGCATTTTGTTCCTCGGGTAAGAGAGGCAGCTGTCGGGCATGAACTCGGTTGAGCATTTTGAAGAGAGTCCGCTCATCGGAGCAAATATTGAGACACGCACACACGAGCAGAATGTGGGATGATGGGTGTTGAACTGAGCTATTGATCTAGTACTTTTGACAGATGCAGTTCGCTACAGAGTTAAAACTATGGTTAAACCATGTCGGGGATAAGGCACTTGGGGTCAAAAAACTAACGTTAAGAAAGTCGCTAGACTTGCCGATCTACCCTTACCATGTGGTGTTGAGGACATCTTATCAATCACGTCGCATCTTATCGATCAACATCTTATCGATCAGTGTGGCACACTTTTCACAAGGAAGAAAAAAAAAAAAAATACGACATTTGCGCATATTTCACATGTGGCTCTTTTTTTATCTTATCAATCCAGATTCGGAAACCACGCGAATGCTACCCAAAGGTTCCACGGTTCTAGACTTGAAGGCCTGGACCTGGTCAAAACGCTCAGAAAATGAGACGACATTTTTGACTCTGTTCCCTTCTTGCGGAGCCGTTTCATGAACCTTGTTGAAAGATCGTGACACACACCCCCCTTCCCTTCCATTCTCCTCCCCGTTATGGTATAGGTGGGCTGAGAAAGGTCCGATCTGATCACTTTTTTTTTTCCTCTGTTCTACAAGGAGCGGGAGATGGGCCTCAAGGGGCATAGTAGGAGACGAATCTCCCATGGAGAAAAAAAAAAAAAAGATGGCGGAGGATTGCCGAGGGCAGAATCAAAGTAGAACCAACAAAAAGATGGGGGTGTATGACCATCTCCTGGTCCAAGGGAAAGAAGTCGATCTTCGAGATGCTAACTACCAACAGCGTCAAAGTAGTTTCCCAGCTGGCCGGAGTCGGAGAACATGTTGGGTTGACCCGATCGTGTGGGTTTCTCTTTGCAAATTGGTTCTTTTTAACTTGGGGGGTTTTCAGGGACTTTAAGATTGAAGCATTACTTTTAACCCATCTCAACGAGGTAATGATGGGCAAAAGGTCATCTCATCAATAGCCAGCGCCACAGCAGTTCTACGAATACACCGAAAGAGGAAAGGCATCGTCTTGGGGGTACAGCCTATGGCATTGACATTAAGGGTCCCCATTGTGGCTTGACAGACGATCCACGGCGGTCAATCGGGGCACCATCGGTTGGCTTCCGTCATAGGTTGAAGACTGACAAGGCCAGGTAGGGAGGCTGTAGGTCACCAGCTGAGAGAGGTCTGGTCTGGTCCCCGCTGCTACAGTGACTACCACCAGTGCTACTATTACTACTTTCACATACTCCTGCTGCTGCTACTACCATCATCCCACGGGCACGGCCATGGGACAGAGTAAAAGCAGTGGGGCCAGGTCGAACGGCGGCGCCGGCGGGTGGTGCGCAGGATCGTCGACTCTTTGTCGCGTGTCGTGCGACCTGTTGTCAGTCATTGCAGAGGTTAGGAACTTTGACTCTATAGTGGCCCTCCCCTCTCCCATTGACTTCCTGGAACCCTGCTGCGACTACGAGATGTACGCTTCGGGAAGAAATCGAAGGTGCCTGCCGGTGGAGTTTTGACGAGCGAGGGTGCAGTGCCGGGCTGGACCCCTGGTAAAAAAAAAGAGACTTTCATCGACCGTTGATTTCTCGGCGTTTGCGGGATGCGTTTGAGAATGGGGACACGCACACAATGTCTCCATCTGATAACCCGTCTTGGCAATAGCAATAGTAACCTAGACGAGGCTGAAAAGAAGGGACCCAGTCCTCCGCAGGGACGAAGCCGAGTTGCCGGTTTGTGGCTGATCCTCAAGTGGTTGGAACGGTCGATGACTCTTGAGTAAGAGAGACAGACGAGAGAGACATACACACGCCCCCCGAAGAGAACAAGTGTGGGACCCCGCCGGCACCGGGGGGCTCTTTTGCTACAAGGCATGGATCTGGTAATCTAAGGTTAAAGCTGAAAAGGAACTTCCCTTCCCACCCTGGACGAGCAGGGCACTCACTCACTGTTGGTGTTGTGTTGAGGCCACGGCGTGCGGAACTCAAGACGGAACTTGGGAACACGACAGGACAAGGCGTCTTGTGGATCGAGCGTGGGAGAAAACCGTGCAGTGTTCGTTATTCTTGCATATTGGGTTCAAGTTTATGGCTCAACATGGTAGGGATGTCGCTGGTTGAAGCAGCATGGCTCCAAACAAGGCAATGGTAAATGGTATGGGATGGATTTGCTCGAGCAGGCATTGGAGGAAAAGGGCCAGGGAAAGATAATCTGATGGACTCATTTACCTCCCAGTGGCGAGGATATCATGCCCGGACGTTTACGAATGGAGTCGTTCGTGTCTAGCCCTGATGACCGCCCTTCCTGCAGGACCCCCATACAGCAAAGCCTGGTCAACCGTCCCACGCAGACAGATGGAAGGACCATTAACCTTTGACCCATTATAGATGGTGTCCCTTTTTTGACGATCGGACCAAAGAAGTAGTTTGGGGCGGGGGTAAAGAGAGGAAGAAACGGAGCAACCCACGCCCCCCAAATAGTGCGGAAGGGAAAAAGAGGAGAGAGGTGAACTGGACCAAGATGGCTCTTGGGATGGTGGATGCTACCTCTTTCTCTGTCGACTTTCTTCCGACCGCTCAGGATCGAGGCATTTGTCCACATCTCTTGGTATAAAGACTAGTCGTCTTCCTCTTGTTGAGGATCCCTTCAGGATACATCAACCATCAAGCCTTCTTCTCTCTCCTTCTCCATTCCTTCTACTCTTCTCTTTATACTTTATATCACGCAGAGAAGCAGAACCAATAACCTCTACGGTTTAGAGTTTCTTGCTTCCCCTTGTGTATCCCTTCAAAACTCCCCTGATCCCAGTGTCCAACACACAAGGGAAACTTGCTCTGAAGCACAACCCACCATGTTGCTTTCCAATACACTCGCGGCGGCGGCGGCGCTGCTTCTGCCAGCTGCTGTCTCCGCAACTGAGCTCCTCGATGGCTATGGAAGGGAGTCGTTCAGTCTTCCCTGTGCTTGGGGATGCCGCTACGCCATGCCTTACAACATCGACTGCCCAGAGTACGCCGGCATGACGCCTGAGGAAAAGGCAGATCAGTATCCTTCTGCTGCTTGCTTCGCCAACGACACTTCTTACCTCACGTCTCTTGCCTGGTGCATCAACACGTACTGTCCCAAGACTATCATGGGCTACAAGATCCTCAAGTTCTGGGAGACCGACATGATCTACGGGCAAGATGAACCCGGAGTCGTGCTGCGGTACTCGTACTCGGACGCTCTAAATCTCGTCGACCCCAAGAAACCACCGAAGCCTATGAACGCAACCCTCGAGCCTGTCTTTAACCGCACCATCTCCATCAGCGCCGATGATTATGAGGCCAACATGAACGGTGTCAAGGGCTACGAGGCCGTTGGCAAGAATGAATCCACGTACAGGTAAGCACAACTACCCTCTTGTAAATTATACGACGGTGATATCTAACTTGTAGTTGCCAGTCTCCTCGTCTTCCTCTCCGGAGTCGTCATGCCCGTCGGCTTCTCTCTCCTCCGGCTGCTCCCCTTCCCGGCAAAGTTTCGAAGCCGCTTCTACGCCTACTTTATCGACCCCCCAGCCTGGGGACGCAAGCACAGCGTACCAGTCCTGGGCCTCGGCTTCATCCCCACTCGCGGACAGATGATCTTCATCACATATCTCATCGGCATCAACCTCGCCGCCGTCTTTGCTGGCTTCCCCCGTTACTCTCCCAACGCCGTCTTCCCCGATCGTAGATATGAGCTTATGAGACATATGGGTAACCGAGCTGGCGCTATTGCCTTTGCCAATATCCCCCTTGTTATCCTGTACGGTGGTCGAAACAGTCTTCTTCTGTGGATGACCAACTGGTCTCACTCAACCTTCCTTCTCCTCCACCGCTGGGTTGCCACCATCTGCACCCTCCAAGTGTGCTTCCACTCCCTCATGTGGCTTCGCATCATGGTTGAGGCCCATAGCCACGCCTCGGCGGCCAAGCAGCCGTACTGGTACTGGGGTATCATCGGCACACTGTCCTTCAGTCTGCTCATCCCCCTGTCCGTCTACTACTTCCGGAAGATCGCATATGAGGTGTTCCTGATTGGGCACATCTTTCTCGCCATCATGGCCATTGTTGGTTCATGGTACCATATCTGGAAGCTGTACGAGGGATCTGGCGGCTTCGACATCTGGCTGTACATTGCCATCTCAATCTGGAGTTTTGATCGCTTCCTCCGTATCGTCCGTGTTAGCAAGCACGGAATCAAGAGGGCCTATGTCACTCGCATTGACGACGAGTACATCCGCGTTGATGTCCCTGGTGTTGACTGCCACGGCTACTGCTACGCCTACTTCCCTACCGTCTCCTGGCGCATGTGGGAGAACCATCCCTTCTCCGTCGTCGGCTGCAACCCTGGCCATCCTCGGAACGACCCGCACTCCACCTCCCACTCTGACAGCGAGGGTCCCTCCCTGTCGTCTCCCACGTCCGTCACTGACGCCGCTGCCAAGGAGGCTGGTATTGTCCATAGGACCCGTACCATTGCCACCCGAAACGGTCAGCATGGCATCACCTTCTTTGTGCGACCTCATTCTGGCCTCACCAAGCTGCTGGCAAAGAAGTGCGGTGTCGAGGCTGGCATCCCTGTTCTGATCGAGGGCACGTACGGCCACGAGGGCAAGACATACCTCCAGGGCAACGACGGTCACTTTGCTCCCACACCCGAGTACCCCAACATTCTCTGCATCGCTGGTGGTGTCGGTGTCACAGCCGTTATGCCGGCCCTCAACAGCTCCCTCTCCCTGTACGCTCCCATGGGCACAACCAAGTTGTATTGGGGTATCCGGAACCGCGGGTTGGTGGATGCTATCCAGGGCATGATGATGGGCGTGGGCGAAGTGACGGATACGAAATGGGGCCACATCGAGCCTCACATCACTGTTGGTTCGCGCATGAATGTGAGACAGATTCTTGAGGAGGAGCTCGAGCATGCTGTCGGCGGAACCACTGTCGTGGCCTGCGGGCCTCTGGCCATGGTAGATGATGTTCGATATACATGCGCCGCACTGGCTCGCCATGGAACCGTGGTTCGATATATCGAGGAGGCCTGCACGTGGTAGTCCATCCAAGGTTCACATATACTCAAAAACATAACAATCCGCAAAAAAGTCATACACACCACACCCCCTTACCTTGCACGCACACCTCAACTTCATACCCCGAATCATCCGGTCCCTTACCTTGTTCTACTTGGACACATAGTTTGTTAATGCTTGACGGCCGTTGACTTTTCACACCTGTTTCTGTGATTATCCTGTATATACACTCTACTCTAGATTCTGCCTCAGAAACTTGTTTGGCAAATATGGCCAAGAACTCGCAAATATCACAACCAAATTAACCGTATTAAATCGTACGTGAATCTCCAGGCAGACACACTTACAAAGTCTCCGCCGTTTGAATGAAATGAACCTTGAGGCCTCTGCGTTATGGTACCTACAACATCCGATGCATCCCATCCGCGGTCAAGTCCCACTCGGTACCATGTGAAGCCCACATTCCCGGACCGTCCCCCGAAGATCCTTCCCGGGCGGGGCCCCTGACCGTGGGGTCTAGAGCTGGCGGGATCGACGTCTCGCACGACTTGGCTTTGGGGGTCACCTTTGCCTTGCAGGGCTGTCGAAGGGAAGTTTGATTGCAGCGCAACGTCGTACTCGCAGGAGGACCTGTCCTCTTTGCGGAAGGAGGTGTTTGCATCGGTGGTTGGAGTCGAAATGAACCCGTGGACGATGTCTGGCTCATGGCCTGAGGTTGATGGTTGGGGGCGGATTTCCGGAGGATTCGCCGTTGAGGCTGAACTCGAGGCGGGTGGGAGCCATGATCTGAGCCGAATCTAGTGTCCCGTAAACTTGGCATTTTGGAGAGATCGATGCCAAGGCGTTAGTATTCCAGCCACCTTTGGACGGGTGTTGTCAAAAGGGTAACAGTGCTCCGACTGGACGCCTCATTTGGCAATACCGATGAAAACACTCACACAAACACCAAACCTGCCTCGTGAACGTTCCTGTTTCCGGTATAGTAAGTAAACAAGACTGTTACCTCACCTGAATTGCCAAGTGTCTTGGTGATTTTGAGTTGCGCTCATTCTCGGCGGTGTTGGCACTTATCAAGTTTTCGAAGTGCGGAGACGTAGCCTCCGTAGACGGAACTGGAGTGACTGGATCAGATGGGCTTTGATGAGGGGGGCTTAAGGTTGGTTTTATGTCCCAGCGGTGTTACCACATGGACGGTTTCGAGGTGGGAGTGTCGGCGACGCGGGCCGTCGTGACGATGTTGTATTCTTGGCATGGTGTTGCAGTGATATCGTGAGAGGTGATATAGCCTTCAGAACAGTCTAGGCTTGGAGTTTTGGGATAAGCATTTGAGCATGTAATGCGATGCGTGAAGAAGAGGTCATGTGTTCATATCTTGAGGTATCGCCTGGAGGCTGTCGCAGTCTTGGTTTGGGCATGATGTAAGTCATGGTGGACTTGTCGCTGGGATGCGTATATCTCCCATTGGAGATAGAACGTTGATGGATCTTGCATACAAAACGAGCCTATTCCTGAGATACATCTGTATTATCCATCCCCTGAAGAATATGTAGTGATTCGTTTTTCACATATCTTCATTGGGGTCGTTGTCGTGATTGTTTATTTTAGCAGATCTCACATAAAGTAAGATGCTTGAGCAGCTTGGATGTAGCTCTTGAAAGTTTGTTGAGACTGGCCTTCCGCTTCATTCTCAGCCCCTCTTGAGGCGTTCCCCTCTTGGGTCACGGGGTGAGTGATTTGTTGTGAGCGACGGCCCGATGGTTGGTGTCTCTGTGCCTCATAGTCTGTACTAGTTGAGAGGAAGATGCCTGTGCCGTGACTCCTTGGCAGTTTCAACTCGGGAATGGACCAATGAAGCCGATTTAATCTATGCGCATAGTCTTGGCGTTGGTTATTGAACTGCGAGATGATCTCGTATTGCTGATGCTTCGAGAAGAGTCATTGCGATGGATGGACGTCGTCTTGCGAGACACGCATCTATACATATAAAACATATGCACGTCAGCCTTCCGCATCGCGAGTAACAAATGCATCAAGGCTTCATCCAATGGATTCGTGGTGCATTACGTAGGCGCCGTCAAGCCTCACACGTGTCTGGCGACGCACACCCGATTCCTCGCCCAATAGTCTGGCCTCTAAGAAGCCATCTAGACCCGAACAGGACAGCCATTGCGGCAGCATTTGACCAGACCATGTTTTGTTAGCATGTGCCGAGGACCAGGTAAGAAGAAGCTCAAGGCTTCAGTTTGAAGTTCCCCTCTAATTGGCCGGAACCTTGTGTTGAGGGGGCGATTCCTTTCGTCCCATCATCTGATCTGGCAAGCTTCAGTAGGATTCAGGCGAAACGTAAATGCACACACAATCCCCTCGCAAAATTATAACCTTTTCTCTGTGCAGCATCAAAATGACTGTTGTCGCGACCGTGTCTTTATAACGGTTCTTGCGCCAACACAAAAAGGCACATCCCCTCCATCACTCACACCACAAAACAATCATCACCATGAAGCTCCTCTGGCTCCTCGTCGGCGCTGTTGCCAGCGTCGCGGCTGTTCCCTATCAGCGCACCACTAATCTGCGCCTCATGACTTACAACATCCGATACCAGGTCGAACCCAGCAGGGCCGAAGATGGAGAGGAGCTGTGGCCACTTCGCCGACCGCACATGGCCGCTCAGCTCAACTACGAACTCGCAGGACGTCCAGACTCTCTGGTTTGCATGCAGGAGGTGACATACCCTCAGGCCCTGGATCTCATGGACGACTTTGGCGAAGACTGGGCCTTGATCGGCGGCGGTCGCAGGGATGGCGCCAAAAAGGGCGAGCTGTCGCCCATATTTTATCGTCGCTCTATCTGGAATCTGGAGCAGACAAAGACATATTGGCTCAGCAGGACACCCGACAAGGCTGGGTCGAAAGGTTGGGATGCTGAGCTTCCCCGCGTTGTTACTGTCGGTCGCTTCCGTCACCTTCACACAGGCGCCCGCGTCGTCTACATGTGCACTCATTTCGACTGGAAGGGCAAAAAGTCCCAAGGTCATTCAGCGGCTATGATCATCGACTTGGCCGATCGCTGGTCTTCGCACAAGCGCGAGAGTCTTCCCGTCTTTGTCGCCGGCGATCTCAACGCCACACCCGACAGCCCGGCATACAACCTCTTGGCCACCCAGCTGTACGACCTCAAGTACCAGGTGCCGTCCAGCAAGCGTTTCGGCCATCAAAAAACGTACACGGGCTTTTCTGTCGATGAGTCGGATGATATGGATCTCGACCACATGTTTGTGAGGGATCCAATGGACATCAGCTTTAAGTCGTTTGCCGTCCTCAACACGAGATATGATGATGGCATCTTCATCTCTGACCATCGCCCGGTAGTGGTGGATATGGAGATTACGCAGATTGCACGAAAGGGTTGAACCATGGTTTTTTATCGCTCGGCGTTTGGAATTAGATTATTTGGTGCTCAATGATACCCGGAAGGATTTCGCTACAGTTAAACAGTCCGAACAAGGACGCTCATTGCCTGAAGCCCCGAGTCTCCCTCTCGCACCACTCCACAAACTTCTCAGAAGTACCCGTTCCGCCCTGCTCCTTGCTCTTGACTGCTTGCTTGATATCCTCGAGGAGACACCCAAATCGTCCCCAGGGGACGATGAAGGCCCCGTTCCTGTCGCTGGTGACGTCGGGCGACAGAAGCCCAAACAATTCGCTGTACGCCCCGAACTTGGCGCCTTTGAAGACGAGACCCTTGTATCTGTTAGCTTATTCGCGTTGAAAGGACTAAAACACTTACCATCATGAATGAGACTGGTCCTGGCATGTGGCGCTGGAGTTCCGTCTTCATAAACCCTGGGTTGACCGACTGGCCGCTGTCAGTCATTTGCACCATTATAGGACAAAGAAAAACTTACTATAGATACAACCCCCTCTCCTCCAAGTCTCCTGGCTGTCTCATGTGCCAGAAACACATTGCCGACCTTGCTCATCATGTAGTTCTCCATCTGGTTGCTCACAACCTTGGGCGCCGTGTTACTCTCATCCCAGATGATGCCACCCTTTGGTGTACCAATCTGGAGCGTGCTAGCAAGCCAAACGACTCGAACCGTTCCTTTCTGCGCAATCTTGGCGGTGCTCACTAGCATATCTTCGAGTGATCGCATGAGAAGATAGCCACCGAGGCAGTTGGTTCCCATCTGCAGCTCATGTCCATTCTGTGTCTTGCTACCCTCGGGAGGAGTCATGACACCGGCGTTGAGTACCAAACCATCAAGTCTAAACTCTTTGCCTAGAAACTCTGATGCCGCGGGAGCGATAGTTCTGAGGTCGGATAGATCGACGGATAGTGACTCTAGGCGACCTGTGGAGTCGGGAAACTCTGATTGGATGGTTTGAATGGCAGAGGCAATCCTAGAGGAGGTTCGTGCAGCGATATAGACCGTTGCGGAGCTCGAGTAGAGGATCTTGGCCAACTCAAGACCGACACCTGATGTCGCGCCTGTGATGATGTATACCCTGGAGGAGAGCGAGGGGAGTGAAGCCTCGGTAAAGGTAGGAGAGGGGGGAAACATTTGCGATCGGACAGACATTTTGGTGACTGAGTGTGTTTCAAATTGGCGAGTATGTTTGAAACGTGATGAAGTATTTGTTTATAGGTTGACTGTGGTTGAAGTAGCTGATTGATGCGATTGAATAGTAGAGAAGCTGTTTGGTTGTGTAATTCTGGTTCATTTCAACGAGGCGGCTGCAAACTCCTTATATGCCAATCTCGAGATCGACCATGAGGCTGAGCATTTGATGAAGGCATCGTAATCATCCCGACCAACAATAGCGAAACCTGAGGGCATCGTCACCCCGGCTGTGGAGCCCGGAGCGGCGATGCTGAATTTCGGTCGGAAATGGCCCCACGGGATCGGGTTTATGGCGTTGTCATAGCTCCGACAGGCGCCGCAATTCCGATGGCTCCACCACGGGCCGTCAGCAAGGGTCTGCCTCGTTCCCTACTATCAGATTCGCATATCTTATCTTGGAAGATCATTAAAGAGAGATAGATCTTGATTTAATCTCGACTACGTCTCATTTTGCAGATCCCACGAACACTGTCTTCATTGTCACGCTCAGCCAACTCCACTCATACGCTTCCCCAACTCCATCAACATGCTCCCATACAAAACACTGTCTAGACCAACATCTAATCCTTCTTCACAACGGGGTGAGACGTTGGAGATCCAGGATCACTTCCCTCAGGAAAAGGCACTCGAGCAGTCCGAGTAAAAATATGCTTCGGCGCATCCCACTTCAATCCCTCCACCAACCCACCCTTGATGCTCAGGTAAGGCTTTGGGTTACCATCAGGTAGAATGCTCCGATGAATGACCCTCACACCACACGTCTTGCAAAAGTAACACTCGACCGTGTTGCCCGAATCGGCGGGACGTGTCCAGAGGCCGAGCTGGGACTGAACCTCGGCGGGGAGCGGCCACATGCTATCAGCGGGGAAGATGGCCGATGTGCCAAAGGCTGAAGCGGACTGCTTCTGACACTCGAGGCAATGGCAGCAGTAGACATCGATGGGTTCGGGGCGCGAAGCCGTCATCTGGACAGCGCCGCACTGACAAGAGACATTCATGGTGTACTGGATGTGTCAGTATCCGAGGCAGATATCTTGGTAGTGTTATGCTTACTTTGGCTAATGCTTATTCTTCGAAGAACTGGGAGAAACTGGTGGAGGTAGCGAGTTTGCAAAATGAGGAGCTGTCCGAGTTGATAAAGGCCAGGATGATCTCCTGAGCCACTCCGTCACTCTTGACATCCCAAGGGCGTACACCATGCAACCCCGCAGATATCGGCATCTTCTAGCCGGCCACATCTACAGGAACGAATGAGAATCAGTAGCTCTGGTTTTATCAGTATCATCCTTGCGAAAGAGCAGCATCCTCCCGCTTGAGACTTGACCATCACCAACCACGGCGACTGTTGCGTCCACCGAGTTCCAGTAGGCGTTCTGCAACTTCGGAAGCCACCAATCAGAGCCACGCCCGGTTAGCTCAATCGGTAGAGCGTGAGACTCTTAGACTTACCACAAAGTGGTTATCGAGTACGCGATCTCAAGGTTGCGGGTTCGACCCCCGCATCGGGCTTTTCCTATACAAATGATTGAGAACATCTGGCTCTGGTTTTTTTTTTTTTTTTGCGCTTCTAACTGAATGATTGGTTTCTTTTTGTTTATTAGCGAGATCACGAACTTTGTCAACTTCTTTTTCCTCTTGCACGGTCAGACTCGGAGACGCGCACGAAATTATACTGTCTCACACACGCACACGTGCCGTCGGATCGGCCAGGCAAATTTTCCGCTTAGTTACGTCATTCATCAACAACAACTGTCAGACTCGCGGCGTCAACAAGCCCACTGGTGATGCCTTCATCAGTAGTGTCCATTTCAGCGTAGCGACTAGTTGAGCCCAAAATGCCTCCCAACGGCTCCTCTGAGAGCCTCTACTCGACTCGTATCGAGGCTCTGTCTCGTCCAGTACAGCGACCCTTGTCCTATCTCAAGCGAGCCGGCATTGCCGCGTCTTACCCTCTTCGTGGCATCTGGTTCTTTGCTCGCAACCAAGAGTTCTGGCCGCTTCTTGTCGGCAGAATCTTTCCATTGTCAATAATTTCGTTCCTGGTTTACCTCCTTCTCTTCACCTTTACCTTTTTGCCCCAGTATGCTTTCTTGGCCATGTTCCATGGCTGGGGAGCATGGATCAACGCTGTGGTGCTGGTTCTGGGCGAGGGTTTGATCATCATTCAGGGTCTGTTCGAAGGCTTCTTTGTGGATGAATGTCGAGTTGATGTATTTGATGTAAGTTCTTCCTAATCTCTATTGCTTGTCCATTCTAACATACCCCAGGCGACCCTCATCAAGCTGTCATACAAGGATCTTGTCGCACCCCAGCGAATTCTCTTCGTGGATGCGCCCACCGCGGTCAGAATGCTCGGAAAGCCCACAAGTCCCGCGATCTACACGCCATGGAGCATCATCCAGATCCTCGAGCTCATCGTCTTCCTGCCTCTCAACCTCGTCCCCTTTGTCGGCACTCCTGCCTTTATCATCATCACAGGCACGAGACTGGGCAAGCTCGCCCACTACCGCTGGTTCCAGATCAAGGGCTACTCCAAGGTTGAGCAAAAGAAGGCACTGAGGGACCGCGCTTGGGAGTACATCTGGTTCGGCACCGTGGCCATGATCCTCGAGTTGATCCCCATCCTGTCGCTCTTCTTCCTCTTGACGACTACGTCTGGAGCTGCCATGTGGGCTGCAAGAATTGAGGATGAGCACAGGAGACCTGCTGATAATGGTTCTGTGACACGGGAGGATACTGATTCATCGGCGCCGCCTCCATACACGGACGATCTTGTATAATTCGTCGGAGACAGTTAATACAGTGATCAACTTGACGCTATCACAACCCAACCTCACGCGGAGAATCATCAATCACAGACAGACTCTGGCATCCTCATCAGCCCGGCCATCACCTCTGTCCTTTCTCGCCTCTGTCCCGCCTCTGTCCCGCCTCTGTCCACTCTCACCAATTTCGATCGCCAGCCTGGCCGACCCAGCCAGCTGAGGCACCTTCCTCGGACGGATAATCGGCAACGAAGCTGAAACTAGCCGTGGCACGCGTCTGGTTTGTTGGGGCGCTAAAGAGGTGCCTCTCCATCTGTCAAGGAAGGAGCGCGCATGTGTTGGGTGATCTGTGCTGGACAGCACGCTGCCGGCAGAGGTTTCGCCCCAGGGGAGGGAAGGAGCGAGCTCGAGTGCTTCGGCACGCACCGAAGGCCCCTGACCATGACTGCAGCAGAGCCTCAGTCAACTGCCGGCCAGGGTGTTGACAGCAGTCGATGAAGGAATGTGTAGAAGGGATACAGTGATTCTAACAAGTAGGAATAATAATTGCATTAATCAGTCACTCACCAATCTCCTGATGTTCTCATCGTCCACCTGCTCTTGACATTGCGAACTGCCAATCGGCGATGGTTGCCAGCTGACTGCCAGTGCGCCGTGCTCCTTCCCTTCGTGCCTTCCTCAACTGCGCAGTCGTTCTCGCGTCCCACGCTTCGACGCGTCACTCTGTCCAGCCGGGTTCGTTGAGAGGGAAGGAGCTCCTTCCTCAACTGAGGTGTGCAGGGCATATAACCTCCTCCCACAGCTCGCCAACAAATTTTTTCTTCTCCTCTTCATCCTCTCTTCTCTTCGCCATCTTCTCTCTTCATCCTCGACCATCCTCTCCCCGAGAAGCACTCACCTTCTCGTCCTCTCGTTCCCTTCATCCTTTTTCGAGGCCATCTCGTCTTCGTTGCCTCGCTTCTTCACGCACCAGCCGTCACTTGACTGTTCTTCATTCTCCACCACCGATCTTCATCCGCATCGTTCATCCCTCTGCGAGCTCGCATCTCGCTGAAGCACCTCGCCCACGATGCGCATCTCCGCATCTCTCGGGCTTGTCTTGGCCTCTGGCCTCCTGGGCCATTCTGGCGCTCAGACGGTCGACTACGCGTAAGTCAACACCTTCCCTCTTCATCAATCACCACTGACCTCAGACAGAACTGCTCCCAACGGTAGCCCTGGTGGTAGCCCTGGAGACGGATCTGGTGGCATTCCTCCTGGCAATCCCAACGGAGCTCCAGGCAGCGCGCCCTTTCCCGGCAACGCCCCAGGGTCTCCTGGCTCCTTCCCTGGCGGACATGATCCAAACTTCCCTCCCACTGCCCCCGGAGGTCTTCCTCCCAACATCCCAGGTGGTGCTCCTGGTACCTTTCCTGGCTCCGGACCCGGCTCCGCTCCCGGCAGCTCTCCCGGTGGTTCTCCCGCCAATGTCCCCGGTACCGGCCCTGTAGTCGCTCCTGGTGGTGTCCCTGGTGGTGTTCCTGGTGGTGTTCCTGGTGGTGTTCCTGGCAACGTCCCTGGCGCTAGTTCTGTGGTCTTCCCCCCCGGATCTCCCAACGGCATTCCTCATCTTCCCCAGAACGCCCCCAACGCCCCTGGTTCTCCTGTCATCGGTGCCTCAAACCTTCCTACTTGCCCCTTGACGACCAAGACTGTTGTTGTCACTGTTATCCCCACGGGTCCTCATGGTGGATCTGGCTTTCCTGCTCCCGGTCGTTCTGGTCCTCAGCAGACTGGTGTCCCAGCGCCCTTCCCCACAAAGCCTCCTCGATTCTCTGCCTCGGGTGCGAACCCAGTTGTGTCCCCTTTCACGACCCTGACTGTTGATCTCTGGGGTCCTGGCACTGGTCCTGGTTCTGGCACTGGTCCTGGTTCTGGCACTGGTCCTGGTTCTGGCACTGGTCCTGGTTCTGGCAATGACGATGCTCCCGGATCCGGCGACAGCGACACTCCTGGTTCTGGTGACGGAAGTGTTCCTGGAGGCGACACTAGCGACATTCCTGGCTCTGGTGATGGCAGTGCCCCTGGCAGCGACACTGGCAACATCGACCCCGACACTGGTACTGGGTCAGGTGGTGACATTGGCTCTGACCACGGCTCTGACTCGGGTCTCGGTGACTCCAATGATGGTACTGATCCCGGTGATGTTGGCAACAGCTCTGACGATGGAGCTGATTCGGGTTTGGGCAACAGTGCCAACGATGGCGTCGACTCTGGTGTTGGCAGCAACTCGAACGATGGCACACACTCATCCTTCTCTTCCCCCTTCCCCGGCTCCAACCCCGCTCCCAAGTACTCCGAGCCTGCCCCCGGCGGCTCTTCTGGAGACTTCCCCAGCTGGCCTGGCTCCAATACACTGGGACCTGTACCTACTCCTTTCCAGATACCCAGACCTTCAGGCCCTGGAGGTTTCCCTGGAACCCAACCTCAAAACCCCTCCCAAGGCCCTGTTCAGCAAGCAAGCGACAGCCTTCCCGTCACCACTCAAGCCGGCCCTCAAGTCCCAGGCGGCAGTTCCCCATGGTTCACAACCGTTGGTGGCGGCGACAATGCTGGCCAACCCAGATCGCCTTGGATCACTGTCACAGGACAAGATGGGCTGCCCACCGTTATCAATGCTCCCGGCTCACCTCAACCTTCTACCCCTTGGCTCACCATCACCGGCCAGGACGGACTCCCGACTGTGATCACTGGTGGAGATGACACTGTCCCTGGCCAGAGTGAACCTCATGCACCTTGGCTCACTATCACTGGACAAGACGGACTGCCTACCGTGATCAGTGGCGGACAAGGCACCCCTACAGACCAGACTCGACCATCTACACCTTGGGTTACCATTACGGGTCAGGACGGACTACCAACTGTGGTCAGTAGCGGAGATGAGACTATCCCCGGCCAAGCCGAATCTCATACACCTTGGCTCACCATCACTGGGCAAGACGGACTTCCCACCGTGATCGATTCCCCAGGTCAAAACCAGCCTCCTACCCCCTGGCTTACAATCACTGGTCAGAACGGACTTCCTACTGTTATCAGTGGTGGCCAAGCTACCGCTCCAGGTCAGCCTCAACCCTCGACACCCTGGCTCACTGTCACCGGGCAAGATGGACGTCCCACTGTTATCAATGCTCCTGGTTCACCTCAACCTTCCGCTCCTTGGCTCACCATCACCGGGCAGGATGGGCTACCTACTGTTGTCCGCGGCAGCGATGGCACAGCCTCTGGTCAACCCCAGCCTCCTTCATTCACTGGCTTCCCACAAGGTCAAGGTCTTCCCAGTGGCATCT